TGGATGGATGGATGGATGGATGGATGGATGGATGGATGGATGGATGGATCCTGTTCACCTTGTCGCTCAGCTCCCTCTTCATGATACTCGTATTGTCAGAAGACAACACTGAGCTCGATGTCCCTCTCCAGGATGTGGGTCACCAGAACCCCACAAGCATCTGGTGACCAGGTCTCCACCTATGGGGCCCAGTTGGGCTCAGCCCAGATGAGTTGCAGGGGTTGTCCTCCCTGTGGGCCCACAGCCTGCAGGAGGAGCAAAGGGCTTTGAGTGGCAACTGGAGGTGGACATGGTGCTCTGACTCTGTCTTACCAAAGCTGCCTCTTGTAAAGATGGTAAGATGTGTTTGTTTGTGGTGGTGTCTAGTTATTTACACGTGTACCGATGTTGTCCTGCAGGAAGTTTATTAGACTTCTTAAAGAGCGACGAGGGCAATCGAGTCCAGCTCCCGAAGCTCATCGACTTCTCGGCTCAGGTGAGATCAATCCAACCACTCTCCGCTGATTTTCTTCAGCTGGAACATAAAGGCGACACGCAGGACTGAATCCAGGACTGTCATTGTTTCCTCCTGTTTAGATCGCAGAAGGTATGGCCTACATTGAACAGAAGAACTACATCCACAGAGACTTGAGAGCCGCCAACATCCTGGTTAATAAAGCTTTAGTCTGCAAAATCGCTGACTTTGGGCTCGCTCGTATCATTGAGGACAACGAGTACACAGCGAGGGAAGGTAACGTGTCGTCGTTTGTTCTGAAGGGTGAAATGAATCCACTGAACAAACCAACACTGACGCTTTCTGTGGAATTAAGACAATGACACAAGTTTGGTCAACTGGTAAGTCACCACGTGACTTTTATTGGCAAATGATCACCTGCCCAATTCAAGATCCCCGATCCTGCAAGGTTCCCTGAACCTTTATTCACACTGTATGCCCCCGACAACTACAGCAGAGTTCCTCGAACTCTATTTTTATAAAATGATAGCCCCTGGCTACCTGCCTAACGAAGCCCCTTGACTCACACAGATATGGAAGTCCCTTCATGACACCCCCACACAACGTGTTCAATAAAATCAAACGATGCTAAGATCCCAGATCCACCAAAAATAAAATAAAGTAGTCCCTCGTTTATCGCGGGGGATCCCTACCCTGAAGACCAGCGATAAGTGAAAAACCACGAAGTAGGAATTGTAGTACAGCATGTCATGATTTCAGCTCCCTGCCTCCTCTGCTCTTTGCCACCTGCAAGTGCTCTTGGCCACGCCCACATCTTCTCTCTGCACGAACAGCTGATCAGCTGCAGCAGGAAGTTTATCCTGCAGTATGGGCTGCACAAAGCTACAGGAGGTGAAAAATAATTTAAAATAATTTATTTTAAATGCACATTTCATGCTGACTCATCCATCAATCAGCCAAGTGTGTGTGTCATGTCCAATCTTGTTTTGAAAAACCACGATAGAGCGAGTCCGTCGCTCCTCGAAAAACACTGGAGACCTGGCCTCCCTCAATTTGTAATTCATCCCGGAGGACTTTTCTGCTCACGAGACTGATTCTCCCTTGTGCACGGCTTTATATCCAAGCCTGGTGGTCCGAGGTTAGATGTTGGGACTGACTCGAAGGATTAAATATCCTCTCAATTAGGGGTGAAACAACTACACAGTTTTAAAAGTCGACTTTAACATGATAAAAGTCGAGCTGACTTCGACTAGTCGGTGACGAACTCAAGACGCTATATCATATTTGCAAAAAATAATTTAGAAAAAAGTAATTTATTATTTTTTAAAAAAGAACAACAAAACATCGGTCGTATATTTATGCTCCTGCCATTTATCATGCTGCTAATAAGTCAACTGAAAAGCAAAACTATTATCAAGCTGCAAAAATGCTGCTGTTTTTAGTTTTATTTTATTTAATCCACCACGTGGATGGGGCGGAGTAGGGTTGGGGACAGTGGGGGGGTAACTAGTTGACTTGAAATATAAAAACTTGCGAGACAACGTAGAATCGACTAGTTGATTAGACGATTCTTTGGTTCAACTCTCACCTGTTCGCTGTTGTCATTTTGCCCAGGTGTCCCCACTCCACCATCATTCCCAGTCCTTTTAGTCCCTCAGCTTCACCTCTCTCACTAGTTGAGCATTGTGTGTGCTCACGCCAAGTCCCGGTCTCCTTTGTGTTCTTCTTGAGTTTTTGTAAGTTTGTTTGTTTTGTTTATTTGTTTTATTTTTACCTGAGCTCCGTGTGTAAGTCTACAAACCGTGGAGATTATGACTGAAGTTTCTTCCCCACAGCTCCGGATTGGTTAAAAATATCAGACGTACGAGTCAAACGGAGCGTCCTCGTTGAGTATTTGGTCAAGAAAAATGACTTCTTGTGTTTTCACTCATAAAGTTTATTTATGGTTGATCCATTCTTCATTCATTCAACTTACCAAACTTGTGTCATCGTTTTTGTCCCAAAAAATAATTCATTTTTGTAGTTTTGGAGTGATAGAAATACCAGAAGACTTTCAGTAGAGAACTTCTCAGCAGAGTTAATTAATAAAACATGTTTATTTTGACTCGAGTTTTATCTTCCTTCATGACCAGGGGCTAAATTCCCCATCAAATGGACGGCTCCCGAGGCCATCAACTACGGGTCTTTCACAATAAAATCCGACGTCTGGTCATTTGGTATTTTGTTGACCGAGATTATCAGCTATGGACGCACACCTTACCCAGGTGAGTACATGTAGAGTTCTCCTTTATTTCCTTTGTCCTTTTCTAAAGAGTCCAGATGTATTGAAGTACAGGATAGAGAAAGGTCATTGAATCTGGAAACATAAATAAATAAACTTTCTCTCCAAAGTCCGAAAGTATTCTGGGCCTTTGTTTTGTAAATCTCTGACGATGACATTTTCGTGTGTTTAACACCCCCCCCCCCCCCCCCCCGAGATCAACAAAAAAATGTTAAATCTGCCGCCAGTGGTTCATTATGGTCACCATGGTAACCACGCACCTGTCTCTCTCACTCCTTGACGACAAACTTACTAAGAGGCAGGAAGAAACAAACTGAAAAGTAAGCCTCAAACAAACAGTCGCTGAGCAAAAACTACAAGTTTAGAGCTTAAAGATTCTTAAACCGTGAGCAGCAGAAGACTCTCGTGGTCCAACACGAGAACTTTTATGTTCCTACCGTGTTTTGTGGAGGAGATGTGATGAGATTAAAAGACCCCTCACTTCCAAGTTCCAAGAGACTATTTAGACCTAACTTCTAACTGAAATCTGTGGAAGCTCTTTTTCCTGACTCGCTCACGAGCAAGACGGATGCTTCTCTTCCCTTTCCCGTCTCCCTCCCGCTTCTTTGCTCTCTTTCCAGAGCACATCTTCCGAACCATAAACTACCATCATGGATCTGGTCAGCTGGACTTTCAACGCAATCTATATAATTTTTTCAACCAAGCGACAGGGTCCAGGAGAACCCTCATGTCCCGCTGAAACGCACGTGGCAGGGTACGTCGTGAATCCGTGGGGGGGGGGGGGGGGGTTGATGTGCCTCTCCGTACTGTCTCAGGAGGACACCGAAGATGTGAAGGTTTGATTTGTGCTTTGAGCAGGAGCTCAACCATAAGATGGAAGTGATTTGTGAGAATCGCAGGCCACCTGCGGCTTCTGGGACTCGCCAGCATGTTGGGGACGACCTCGGAGGGAGCTAATAAGCACGGACCAGTGGAATGCCCACAGATCTGGCCATTTTGGATCATTGAAAGTACCAGCAGAACTCAAGACTGACGAGAAACAACAGTCTGCCTGAAAAATTTAACAACTGTGGCTTATCTGAATCTGACTCTTCCGTTCGGCCTGGAACTGGTCGACATCAAATTTTTCCTGGGACATGTGTAAACTAAGAAGGCTCTGTTCTATCACAACCCCCACCCCCATCCCTGAGAACCTCTGTGAAGGCTTATTTTAGCTGTACCGGCTGACACCAACATCTTAACAGGACTATGGACTATCTGGAAGTTCTTCATGGACAAATCACCGTCTTGTCATCAAATGCAAACGCATAAGTAATGTTTGTATAAATGTGCTGCTGGTAGAGTTTTTTGATGTCTTAAATCGTGTCCTGATAAGGACAAGGTGTGAAGAGATCTTTTTTGTAATGCCACTGTCCTCTCATGGCCTTTTCCCTTTTTCTATGTAAAAGAATAAGGGGCCGTGCTCTTAGGAGCAACAGCAACGTGCACTCCGCCCATCTTTCGGACGACTGTACGAACATAATCTCACTGTACTTCGGGGCAGTGTGTTGGATTTCATGTTTTATCTTTTTTTTTTTTTTAATAAAATAATAAATAAATAATAAAGATTATTCTGATTCTGAAGCTCGAGTGTGTGCTCTGTGTATTCTCAGGGGATTTGACAGAAAACTGTAAATCCTACAGCGGTAAAAGAAACAATAAGTGAAAGAAAACAAAAACGTCTTTATGTATAGCCAACATTTTTCAGTCAGGTCATCTGGACCGTTTCATTTTTTGTGCTAAACGTTTCAACTTCCATCCAGAAGGCTTCATCAGTCAAGGAAACGCACAACACAAAACTGATTTTTCCCACAACAGCTTACTCCAAAGTGGAACAAACCAGTTATGTTGGTGCTAAGATGGTGTCTTTGGCACGCTCCCTCCTCCATTGCCGGCCCTCTTCCTTGTTGACAGTGTTGTCAAACTAGTTGAAAACAACAAAGTCCATGCTCAATAATCCAGGTATACAATCCAACATTTTTTCAGTCAGGTCATCTGGACAGTTTTTTTTTTGTGCTGAAACATTTTGCCTTCGGATCATTGAGCAGGAGGGGGCGTGCCAAAGAGACCATCTTAGCACCAACATAACTGGTTTGTTCCACTTTGGAGTAAGCTGTTGGGGGAAGAATCAGTTTTGTGTTGTGTGTTTCCTTGACTGATGAAGCCTTCTGGATCGAAGGCGAAACGTTTCAGCACAAAAAAAAGAAACTGTCCAGATGACCTGACTGAAAAATGTTGGATTGTATACCTGGATTATTGAGCATGGACTTTGTTGTCTTTATGTATAATTTGTGTAATTGCCAAAAAGAGTTGCAGGAAGAAAAAGAGCTTGTTAGCAAACTTTTTTTTTTTTGTAGCTGTATTAAAAGTTAGTGACATCATCGCACTCTTAAGTTGAACATTCGTTGGTAAAGTTCCTAAAATTATAAAAACATAAGCTACAATTGTTTGAAAACTGTTTAAGATATCAAAACAACATTTCAGACGTGAGGAGTCCAACTTTCTGTGACCCGTTTAAACCTTGAACGACGGTTCTGCTGTGAAGTCCGTCTGAGTTCTGGAGCTCCAAAGACGACTGAGGGTTCGAAGCAGTTTTACAAAAATCCCATCGATGTCAACGGGGAAGGTTTAACAGTTTCTTGCTAATTTTGTCTCGGCTTTACAATTACTGCCACTAAACAGAAGTGCTGATAAACCAGCTGATAATCCAGTCAGATTTGAGTGATTTTAATAAACTGCTGAACTCTGACTGGTTCATCCACTCAGCTGTACAGAGTTTCACACCACTTCACTTGTTTTCAGGGATGACCAACCCAGAGGTGATCCGTTCCCTAGAGAAGGGTTACCGCATGCAGCGCCTGGACTCCTGTCCCACTGAACTCTACGAAATCATGCTGGTGTGCTGGAAGAACAAGCCCGAGGACCGGCCCACCTTCGACTACCTGCAGAGCGTCCTGGAGGATTTCTACACGGCCACAGAGAGCCAGTATCAGCAGCAGCCGTGAGATGTTTGTCACGGCGCCGTCAGAATCATACCGGAACAAAAAATTCAGTTTCTACAGGAAACAACCAGAAATTCAACCCAATTCAAAATGGCTGCCACAGCCCAAAAAAAACCTGAAAAACCACTGAAAGTGGCTCCAACCAAGTCAGTTCAGATATTAGCCTAAGATTTGGCTTGGTAGTAGCTGAGACTGATCTCCAAAGCATTCTGACTGGAAACAAATTACCCAACCTGTTTAGAGTCAACTTTATCTGTCTGTTAGCAAAATATCTCATCCAACTATTGGATGAATTTTAATAAGTGTCTGAAAATGAACCAAGATGGCTGCCACAGCTGGCCAACCTTAGCAAACACATAAGTAAATGTAACTCAGTTTTATAGATTTCGAGCTGAAATTTGGTGTGGTAGTAGCTGAGAGTCATCCTCAGCACATACTCTGAGCGCAGGAGCGCGTGCTCCTCCGAGGAATGTTTTATCTGAACAGAGATAGCTGCAGCTATAATATTATTCAACTTTGGAGACAAATACGATGAGTTGCAGAAACCAGCTGAACTGATTTTAATATTTGTAAAATAATAATAATAATAATAATAATAATAATAATAATAATAATAAAAGTGAAAATATTTTGTTTTGTTTTGAACAGAAAATACATTTGTCACTTTTTTTTTTTTCACTCGATGTAATTTATGGACAGTCCCTAACATATTACCAATATAAAGGCACGTAAAATATTAAATATAAAATATATGTTACAAAGAAACATTTTCAGCGCTCAAAATAAAACATATAAATACCGTACTTTCCAGTCTATAACCCCGCAGCTTATACAACGCCGTGGCTAATTTACAGACTTTTTTTTTTTAACGAGCTAATGAGTTTCCTGTTGCCAAAAACATTTAACTTCATCACACTGGGGAGCTCACATGTGCACATCTCTCTTGGGGGGGCAGTGTTGCCAGAGCTCGCGATAGAAACAAGCAACCAGCTCTATGAAAACAAGCCCAACTGGCAACCCACCACATTGTGTAAAACAGAGACCATTTCTAAACAGTATACATTCATTTATTATGGCATTACACATAAACAACAGCAAAATTATGCTAATTTAGCATAATTTTTTGTAATTCAAAGTGTTTAGCATTGCTGGGTCAAGTCAGTCGTCAAACTGCGGACATACAGCAGGCAGTAAGAAGCATTTAGCATTGCTAAACACTTTGAAAACATACTTTTAAGCTCTGATTTAAAAAAAATACATTTTGCATATGTAATTTTTCTACATATTTTTAAAAACAAAACATCCTGACATCTGCGTGTGAGTGGAGCCCACTGGCGATCGGTCACAGTATGAGCGTTTGGGTGTGCGCCTGTCGCCTCGCCAACTTGGGCGGGAGCAATAAACAGGAAACAAGGGCGTGGAAGGGACAAACTCCCTACTACCACTTGTCTTTTGCTTTATTGTGCGGAGCTTGGAGATGATCAAGTAGTTTCACTCAGAAAGAAAATCAAGCCCAAATTAACAACTTCACGTCCAAAACAAGCCCAAAAAAACTGCAACTGTGTTGGGGGTGGGGGGGTCCTCGTGATTTTATTTTACTGTTTAACACACAGACAAAGTGGAGGATGGGAGACTTATATGTTAGCATTATATGTCAGTTTGTGTTTATCATGTGTTAGTTTGTGTTTATTATGTGTTAGTTTGTGTTTATTATACGTTAGTTTGTGTTTATTATACGTTAGTTTGTGTTTATTATGTGTTAGTTTGTGTTTATTATGTGTTAGTTTGTGTTTATTATGTGTTAGTTTGTGTTCATCATGTGTTAGTTTGTGTTCATTATGTGTTAGTTTGTGTTTATTATGTGTTAGTTTGTGTTTATTATGTGCTAGTTTGTGTTTATTATGTGCTAGTTTGTGTTTATTATGTGTTAGTTTGTGTTCATTATGTGTTAGTTTGTGTTTATTGTGTGTCAGTTTGTGTTTAATATGTGTTAGTTTGTGTTTATTATGTGTTAGTTTGTGTTTATTATGTGTTAGTTTGTGTTTATCATGTGTTAGTTTGTGTTCATCATGTGTTAGTTTGTGTTTATTATGTGTTAGTTTGTGTTTATTATGTGCTAGTTTGTGTTTATTATGTGTTAGTTTGTGTTTATCATGTGTTAAGTTTGTGTTTATTGTGTGTCAGTTTGTGTTTATTATGTGTTAGTTTGTGTTTATTATGTGCTAGTTTGTGTTTATTATGTGTTAGTTTGTGTTTATCATGTGTTAGTTTGTGTTCATTATGTGTTAGTTTGTGTTTATTATGTGTTAGTTTGTGTTTATTAT